CCTTGTCATTTCTAGAGTGTGAAAAGAACACGAGTTTACTGCATTAGCGTACAACAGTGAGCCAAGATGGCCGATTTAGGCATGACAGGTCAGCTKTTTGAAATTACTGTGTAAAGCCTGCACAATTTTTCAAGGCAAATGACTATGCCCAGTTAATTCTATAGCTTATTAGCTCTTAAATGATAACAAATAGAAATTTGGGGAAAAGCAAAAATAAATAGAAATTTTACTTTTTCTTACTCGGGGTAGCATTCACTCTAATGATATTTTAGCAATAAAAGTCTTACGAACTATGCCAGTATTTTTGGTGACAAAGATAAGCAATTTAAAAAACAACTACAATAAACAAGATTGAGGTGTTCAAGCTACCTTATATAGATATTTCAACAACCAAAAACTTGAAGATCTTGGTAAACCTAAACAAGGAAAATTACCCAAGATTTGAGGATATGCTGAGGTAGCTGGGATGGTCTTAATATTTCCTTTAACACCATATGCCACACAATTTTTCAGTACAAAAAAATTGCACACCTGTAAAGATAAAAGAAAGGCCATTCTAATAGAGGTAATTTCCATCTTGGCGAATAGTAAAACTTTCGAGTAAATTGACTTTGAATTTGAGTAAAAATTAGCTTACACGCAAATTTGGCCATCAAACAGCCTCCTATTTCAGACGATCAGCTTTCGACTAAAAGTTATAATTCAACAAAATGAAAATATCAAAGAATAATTTCTCACCTTAAAGAAAGATTTCCTCAATTTACTGGTTAGATTTTAAATACAACAGGAACAAAGATAACCATGTCTTGAGGTTTTTCCCTTTCGGGCACATTTTGACGAGTGATTTATCTCCAAATAAAAGGACGATGTACTTGTTGATATGCTCATGTGCTAGTCCTTCGTCTCTAGTTTTGATCCTCTTTGAAGCCCTTCCATCGAATGCCTCTAAATTCTGAGAACGTTGATCACAAAACCCACAGACTGTGCATTACAAACAAAATGGCGGCTGAAATTCTTTTGTTTTCTATTAACGCGCGCATGCGCAGTACAAATTGCCTATATGCTCCTTTCTTCCACTTCAACACTTCCCTACCAACATGGAAAAAAACTTTGAGTAACTTATTCTCCTTATTTCTCTTTGAGATAGAGTTGAACAAAAGAGAGTTTCAGTTTCCACCGGATTCCAAATGTAACAGGTAGCCGCTATGGAAGATATATATGGAGCATATTTTCAAGTTGTGACAAAGTTTGGGCTTCCTGTGTATTCAACGGGTGAGAAGGTCTGGACAGGAAAATAGGAATCATAAATAAAATAAACAAAATAAAATAACATTTTTTTTTTTWAAATAAAATTTATAAACTTATTTAGGAAAACAACTTCATTGAACGGTGCAGAAAAATAAGAAGACCACGATTATTGCTTTCAGCCGGCTCCAGCTTTGAAGTTTTAAAAGAAAAGAAACGATTTATTTTAAAAAGTCTACAAATTAAAACAAAACAATTTATTTTCGTGTGTATGACGTACTTTCACATACGTTTGTAACTTATCTTGAATATGCTTGCTGTATTGAGAGGCTGAAACTCAGACAAAGAGCCCTAGTTCACAATTTAGTACATTAAATACCAAAACTGAACACCATATTCCCAGTTGTGACTCCGTGGCGCAATGGTAGCGCGTCTGACTCCAGATCAGAAGGCTGCGTGTTCGAGTCACGTCGGGGTCACTCAATTTTTTTTTTCCTGTTTTTTTACTAAAGAGTTTTTTATTTGCTGCATCTATGTACCTAACTAACTACCATAGTTTCATTTTTTGTTCTGTACGCAATTTTTTTAAAATGTCAATATTTATATTCAGCCGGAAATAGAGGATATTACATTAGACTTGCCCCAAGTCGACCTCACAAGTGAGCGCAGCGAACGAGTGAGAGATTTTTAACACGAGAAGATAAATTGCGTATCTCTAAGCGCCCATGTAATAGCTATTTCATTGGTAAAAAATAGCTATTTCATTGGTATTTATATAATAAGTTAATTTATTTCATGATCGATCCTTTCTTTTTACCATTGCTTACCGAAACCATTACTCTTAGCAAACGAATAAAAGCAAAAAGAAACTTATTCTAGAGACCGTACATTAATTACTAATTATAGGAAGGATTAAAGATTGTAGTAACGCTTAGATTTTTTTTTTCTTTTCAGCTCCCCCCCCCCCCCCCCCCCCCCCCCCCTCTCCCCTCTCTCTCTCTCTCTCTCTCTCTCTCTCTCTCCCCTGAAGCTGACACATTCAACTCCCCTTCCCGTTAGATAAAGAGGGAAGGGCGGATCCAGAGGGTTAAAATCCCTAGTGAAAACCTTGGATATTTCCCTGAGGCGGGTACCTACTGGCAGAGATACTAGTGATTAAAGTATAACAAAAGAGAATAAGAATGATGATCGATCAAAGTATTGACATGGCTCTAAAAAAGTTACTGCAGCAGTCGGTGAGAAGTCTCGCGTTGAGACGTGGGCTAGGCTTAAGTAAACTCGTACAACCCCCAGTAATATATGTTATATACAGCAAACAGAGAAGGAAAGAGGATTCGAGAAACGTAATCAATCCAATATGCGACAGACTTCCCTTCCTTTTGGACCTCTTCGTATTCTAGATCACTATTGGTTTTGGATTTGGATGCGGAGATTTCGATACCATATGCTATGAGACATTCGAAAAGAGCCAAGAATATGAAGGTGAAGGACACCATAAGATACCAATCGAGTGCTTTAGGGTAACTGACACGCAGCATGGCAGCATTGATAGATCCCATAAGGAACATGATAGTCAGTATTGTAGTGATTCCCAGGGCCATACGATTGCCTATGTCATTTCTGTCCATCCAGAAGACTATCCAACTGAGCATGACAATGAAGATGTCTGGCGCGTATACTTGGATCAAGAAGTAACCAAGGCGACGTTCAAATAAAAAATGTACTGATATGAGAGAGAAGTTGCCTGTTTAAAGAGAAAAATCGAGAATAAGGTAAGCCTTGATTGATCTAGGTATTCGATTCATTAGCCGGTTTTTTCGTTAAATTACATAAAAAAACGACTGAGGCCAGTGGTTTACACATGCGAAGAGCCTAAAGAATGGAATGACTTAGCTTAACGGACCTGTTGAAAGGACCGCAGTGTTGCTCGCCAGTTGGCTTGACTTGAAGTAGAACTGAGCAAGCTCGCGCCGTCCAACTTCTACAGCACTGTCATCTCGCCACTTGTAGACAATATCTGAAGTGGGATAGCTGTCTGTAATCAAAATGCCAAAAAAATATCATATCGGCTCAGTTACAAATAAATCCATTATAAAAAATGTATTATGATGGCTAACACTATGAAAAACATGGTATCGTATTTTGCAAAACGAAATTATGCGAATTACGCGAGCAAGTCATTTGCATTTTTTATTCTTTCGCATCGTTTCGTTCTGAATTTTTCGTTTCCTATTCCTTCGTTTCGCAAAATCTCATAAGCTCCATAAGAGAGCCATTTAGACTCAATTTTAATTTAGAGATTTTAGAAATTACATTTTGGAGCATGAAGGAACAGAAATTTGCGCAATGATAATATGATAATATTTTAAAAAAACGCTGAGTTAACAAGGCGCATGTGCATCAAACGAACTGGGTCAACCTAAAATTTAGAGCATTACTTACAGCTTCCGAATACAAGATTACACTTCTGAGTGTCCATTGGAAAGTCCCTGAGATCCATCTTACACTCTGCAGTTACTTGGGAACTGTGAACAAAATGCACATGCTCAGCATACATGTGGAAACTGTGACACGTGATATATTGCAAGGGTCATATCATGCAAAATCATAGTACGAATTAAAAATCGGGGG